GGCAATGACCTCTCGGAGCAGATCAAGCGGGCAAGCCAGTCTCTACGCATCACGCCTTTCTACTTCTACCTGGCTGCTCTGCAGACTCTCTTCAACCGACTTCTCAACATCGAAGATATCTGCATCGGTGTCACCGACGCGAACCGCGACGAAAGCAGTTTACAGACCATCGGCTTCTTCCTGAACTTGCTACCCCTCCGCTTCGACGTTCAGAAGGATACGAGGTTCTCAGACCTTGTCACGAAGACAGCCCAGCATTATCGAACAGCACAAGCCAACATGGGAGTCCCTTTTGATGTCATTCTCGACAAGGCGAACGTCCCTCGACAGTCAACCAGTACACCACTCTTCCAAGTCGCCATGAACTATCGGCAAGGAAACTTCTCCAAGATCCCGCTTGGTGGAAGTAACCTGGAGTTCAAGGATGGCTATGATGCGCAGAGTCCTTATGATATTGCTTTCAGCGTTACACCAAATGACGACACGACTTATGTTCAAGTCGTTGCAAGAGAAGACTTGTATACAAGACAGGGAACAGATACTCTGTTATCTGCATATCTGGCGTTGCTACGCGATGCATCAACAGATGTAAGCAAGACTTTGGAGACCATCAACCTCTACGACCAAGCCGGTATCAACAAGGCATTAGTGCTTGGGTACGGGGATATAGTGGACTACAAATGGCCCTCAACGCTAACGGAGAAGCTGGATGAGGTCATTCAGACCAACCCCCATGTTGTCGCTGTCAAAGATGTCGATGGTCAGCTGACCTACGAAGAACTTGCCGTCAGGGTCAACAACCTTGCCTCAGGCATCCGGTCTCAGCTCCAGCCGGGTTCAACAGTGGCAGTTCTCTGTGAGCCGACCGCATGCTGGGTCATTTCCATGTTGGCCATCATTCGATTGGGTTGCATCTACGTTCCGTTGGATGGAAAATTACCTGATGAGCGCCTCAAGGTTATTCTCGATGCTGTTGCGCCGGGCTTGATACTCTGTGAAGACTCCACTGAAGAGCGCGCTCATGGTATCTCTGTTGGGTCGCCCATCCTTTCCGTGACTCGCATATTAAACCCCACCGAGGCCATTACTACACCAAACCTAGAGCGCGTCGATGACACGACCTTCATCCTTTTCACAAGCGGGTCGACGGGTACACCGAAAGGTATTCGACTCTCTTCAAGAGGAATCATCAACTATGTTGCCACGAAGAGCTCGAAACTCTGTCTCGATCGAGAGTTTGTTCTCCAGCAAAGTGCTCTTGGCTTCGACATGTCCCTTGCCCAAGCTTTCATGGCCCTTACCATAGGTGGTACTCTTGTCATAGCTCCCAGTATAGATCGGGGCGACCCTCTCGCATTGAGTAAGCTCATGGTTGATGAAGGCGTCACCTTCACGTTGGGCACTCCGACGGAGTATCTCATGCTCATTCGACACGGTGGTCAAAGCGTGAAGGTAATGCAGTCCTGGCGCCACGCGACTTCCGGTGGTGAAGCCGTCACTGCTCAACTGAGGGCGGCTTTCAAGTCGTTGCAACACCCTCCAACTCTCACCGATTGCTACGGGCCAACAGAGATCTCATGCTGCGCTACCATGAAGACTATTGACCTCGAAGATGATGGAGACAACAGCGCTTACTCGACTGTTGGCCCAGTGAATCCCAACACTTCTATCTACATTCTTGATGAGAGCGGACACGTAGTTCCGCAGGGCCTCCATGGTGAGATCTACGTTGGCGGCGTTGGTGTTGCCCTCAGCTATCTCGACAAGATGTCAACCTCGCAGAAATTTGTACCGAACCCGTTTGCGACAGCTGAGCATACTTATAAGGGGTGGACTGCGATGTATCGTACTGGAGACAAGGGTCTCATTCGTGCTGATGGCGGTCTTCAGTTTATGGGCCGTATGGATGGTGATACGACTATTAAGCTTCGCGGACTACGCATCGACCTTGAAGATGTCGCCAATGTCATGCTGCAGCAGTTCAAGGGTTCTCTTGACGACGTTGTTGTCACTGTCCGTGGTGATGCAGCGTTCCTCGTTGCGCATGTTGTGCTGACTCCGGGAACTTCTATGGATGCTTCGAGATTGCAAGAGTTGGCGAGTGCCCTGCCACTTCCTCAGTACATGAGACCTGCATTGGTCATTGAGTTGGAGAAGCTGCCGTTGAATAGCAGTGGAAAGGTTGATCGCCGTGCTATTGCAAGCCTCACTCTCCCTGTATCACCTACACCCTCTGGCCCTTCCAAAGCAGCATCAGACAGGAAGCCAACGCTTGTTGAGGGAGAATTGAGACTCATTTGGCACAACGTACTATCTCAGGCGGGTCTTTTCAACTCTGCGAGGCTTGAGCCAGACACGGATTTCTTCCACGTTGGAGGCAACTCACTGCTTCTTGTTAGACTACGAAGTGCAATTGAGATATCAATGGGCGCCACACTGCCTCTCAGCGACATGTACCGCGCCAGCACATTGGCTGGCATGGTGGGTCTGGTTGAACAGCAGAAGAGCTCTGACTATATGCCTGAGGTCATTGACTGGGAGGCCGAGACTGCTTTGCCTCAGGCCATCAACTTGACTTATCCTCACGATGCAACTCCGGTCAAGACAGTATCCGATCTTGAGATTCTCATGACTGGTTCAACATCATTCTTGGGGAAACAGATCCTCCAGTCTCTCTTAAGCCGACCGTCAGTCGCACGCATCCACTGCATCGCTGTTGACCCAGACTCTGAGGCCAGTCACCTCAAGGACGATCGCGTCACAGTGTATTCTGGCAGCCTGAGTGAGCCCATGCTGGGACTCAAGAGAGAAACTTGGCAGTACCTTCAAGCAACTGTCGACAGTATAATTCTCGCAGGATCGCAAGGCCATTGTCTCAACAATTACTCAACCCTTCGAGCGCCCAACGTGGAGTCGACGCGACAGCTGGGCCGCTTCGCCCTTGGTCGCCGAGTTCCTATCCATTACATCTCATCGAACCGAGTTACACTGCTTGCCTCCGGCGCCGAGGCTACCCTTCCGCCAGTCAACGTTAAAGACCATCAACCTCCTACAGATGGGTCGGAGGGGTTCACAGCAGCTAAATGGGCAGGCGAGGTGTTCCTAGAAAAACTATCGGAAGCAGCAGCAGCCAATACAGAGAAGGATCTTCCTGTATCAATTCATCGGCATTGTGCAATCGTGGGTGACGAGGCTCCTATTGAGGATGCACTCAACGCTCTGCTTCGATACTCCAAGCTTATAAAGGCTGTACCGCGTGTATCAAGCTTGAATGTCGCGGGCTTCTTTGACTTCCTCCCTGTCACTGCCGTCGCCAAGTCCTTTGCCGAGTATGTCATATCCTCGCAACAGAGCCACTTGGGCGTGACGTTCAAGCATTACTCAAGTGGTGTCAAGGTACCGCCTACAGATTTCGCATCATACATGCAAAAGACGTATGAAGACGAATTCCGAGAACTGGACTTGGACGATTGGATTGAGCAGGCGAGGAAGGAAGGAATCGAAGAGCTTATTGTATTATATTTGCAGGCTATCGTTGAGAAGGACCACAGAATAACATTTCCGTTCATGGGAAACACTGGCTAGGGGAGGGGAAAAGCTCAGGATCTTCATCCTAAATGAAAAAGATTTAGGCAACTTGGCATAAGTTTAGGGAGATTAATATAGATTGAGGACATCTTTTGCTGAGTTTATTTTGATGCCCTGTATTGAGCCCTGCTATTCTCTTGCTCTCTGAGGACTAGGTAATTATGTATAGCAGGCTATTTCCAAACGAAGCGTTTCTTCATGCCTTGTTCGCTACTACAACGACAAAGTTGGGGTCCTTGAGGTAATCCTCCCAGAATTCGTGATTATTCTTAACAAGCTCCGTTTCTTCGGCTGCGGCAACATGTATATCAACCAGCCCGAGTTCCTTTCCAATGTCATCAGAGAGCGAGAAAGTCGATTCCATTGAAGTAGCCTCAAACGAGAATGGCGGCTCAGTGACACAATTAACATTGTATCTTAAGCCGCCGGGGATCTCCGTGACATCGGTAAAGGTGACGCCGTATTTGCCTTGGCCGTGGCTCATGTACTGAGCGCGGATGCTCTTTGATCTCACGCCGATAAACTTGCCACCAGGCTTCAAATTCTTCACAACATTCTCGTACATGCTTCTCAGTTCGGAAACAGAGGTAGCATGGTCGAAAACCCAATTGGCCATGACGATGTCGTATCCCTCCTCCAACTTGACTTGCTCCGTGACGGGTTTGGTGACATCAGCCTCGAACCAACGAATGCGATCCTTTCGTCCGAGGCTGTTCTCAATCTCCTCGCCCGCTTTCATCATCTCGGGTGAAATATCAACAACATCAACAACACTTGCACCAGTATCAATAGCCCTTCTGGCATGGAGTCCGCTTCCACCGCCAAGATCCAGCACCTTCAAGCCTGTACAGTCTCCCAAAGCATTCCTCACAAGCTGCCCCTCCAGTTTCGAACAGGGCAACTCCTCTACAGACGCATACTTGGGAGCGAACGAATCGTATTGCGTTTTCTCGACGTGAGACATGCTGGGCACAGACAGTGGATAGTGATTGGTTTGTTGGTCGTTGATTTGCGTGTTGGTTCTGACAATATCACTCAAAACCCCGCTCTGGGCCTTAGATATCGACAGGGATGTTGTGTTACTGGTCTAGCCGTTATGATGCTAGCTTGGGGAGGAAAGAAATCTCAGGAACCTCGACCCTAAATGACAAAAACACTTAGGTAAGTTAGCATGAGTCGAGACTAAATTTAGTAAAAACTTAGGGCACGTTTTGCTTAGATTATTTTGACACCTTATATACAGGTCTGGTGTTTTCTTGCTCCCTAAGGGCTAATCTTGATGTTATCGTGATACTGACTGGAGCGTGATCTTATCACACGTGACTGGTGACATCTCAGCCGTCTTGAAACCCCACTCGTACCGACCGCCATTTCGATCTAACGTCACCAAACCCTAAATCGAACCCTTGACGATGTGCGCGGACGAGGACCCCCTTGCTGTTGATGAGCATGTATGCATCTGCTATGGCTGAAGTCTTATTGCATGCGGCTAACCGATTGGACAGGCGGCTCAGGACGACACCGATGCTGACTCCGCCATTGGAGACGTAAGTGGATATCTTCAGGAAGATCGCAGTAGTTGACGTGTTTCAGGACAATGCTAGTGATACTACATCTCTGAGATCGAGTATTCTGAGATACCGCGAGGAAAATGGCAGGACTTATCACGCTTACAAGGACGGAGGTGAGCTGAGGAGTGCAACAAATGCGACAAGCAAATGAACTAATTGACATAGCTTATGCACTTCCTAACGACGAGGTAAGCCTTTTTCACTTTACACAGTAATTGGTACTGACCTGATATAGATTGAGAACGAACGACTAGGTACCCATACCGTCCCTCCTTTCGTCCCTTTCTAATCGTGACAGATCTTCAACATCATCTCTTTCTGCTCACTTTCGATGAAAGACTACACGCAGCCCCCTTGCCCAAAACGCTCAGCCGTGCTTTTGATGCGGGCTGTGGCACTGGAATCTGGGCCATCGAGTTTGGTGAGCACTACCAGCTACATAACAAAGACGATAAAGCTAACGAAATGGACAGCTGATGAGCATCCCGAGTGCGAGGTCAGTTTTTTTGGAGATGACTTGGGAGACTATTATTGACTGTTTAGGTCATTGGCGTCGACTTGAGTCCGATTCAGCCTTCGGCGTATGTAAACATTTTCGCAGTAACGGGGCTTACTGACATCTCCAAAGCGTTCCACCCAACGCCTCCTTCTACGTAGATGATCTAGAAGAGCCATGGGAGTACTCCGACAAATTTGACTTTGTCTTTGCTCGCTTTCTTACAGGCTCCATCCTCGATTGGCCTAAGTTCTTCAGCGAAAGCTACAAGTCCGCCATTCCCTCTCCCTTCTCCTGAGCAATAGTCTAATACGTATCAACAGGAACCTCAATCCTGGAGGCAGAATAGAGATGATCGACATCATCTACCCTCTCCTCTCCGACGATGGCACTCTGACAAAAGACTCAGCACTGTCCAAGTGGTCAGAACTACTCCACCATATCTTCACCAAGAACGGCCGTGGCATGGATAGTGCGTTGAAGTACAAAGATCAACTTGAGGCAGCTGGTTTTGTAGATGTCAACATTGTCAAGCGCAAGTGGCCCTTAAGCAGATGGCCCAAGGATCCCAAGCATAAGCAGATTGGTCAGTTAGCCCAGTCCAAAGTTTCGTATGAGCAGCTACTAAAGGTGTTGATAGGTATCTGGGCCCAGCAGAACACTCTAGATGCGTTGGCGGCTTTGAGCCTCGCTGTCTTTACACGCCCTGATGGTCAGGGTGGACTCGGCTGGAGTAAAGAAGAAGTCGAGGTTTTCCTGACAGATGTGCGGAAGGATATTAAGAATGTCAACATTCATTCATACTGGCCAATGTAAGTATATCTCTGACCCAGCAGTGAAGTGTTGTATTAATCATAAAATAGTTGGTCGGTTTATGCCACAAAGCCTGAATAAACCACTGGCTAGAGGTGGTATCTCTATACATTCCCATGAATACCTCACACACGTTCAAATCGAATTACATGACCTGAGACAGAGCCAATCAACATCGTTGCGGAGTTCTGACAGATCCAGCATCTAACACTTCCATCAGTCGGTCTGTATTGTGGTGGTACCCATAAGAGTTTCTCATAACCTTGCTTGATCCAGTCTGCATCGTACCTGAGCCCGATATCGTCTGGAAACCGCTCCAATAATTGCTCAGTTGTCATGCTGGTAGTTCGATAGCGATAGATTCGAAGTTTCATGTCGTTCCAAAGGTTGAAGAAAGGAGGGAGATCTGAAACTGAAACGATCAGCTCATCCGGTAGGACTTTGATTCCTCTAATGATACCTTCCTGGCGCTTAGTACATCTTGATTGAGTGCCAGAAGATGTATCCCAGAGCCAAATTAAGCCGTGCTCCGATGCCGTAGCCAAGAGTTTCCCGTCCGGTGAGAATGCCATGGTTGTGACAGTTTCGTTCTGTCTCATTGTGAAATGTGACTCGGGGCGTGAAGTGACATCCCACACTAGAACAGACTGAGTGTCCGATGACACCGCTATCAGTCTTCCATCAAATGAGACACGTAAAGCCATCGGACTCCCCTGCAAGTCTCCGAGTGTATCTTGATGGGAGCCAGTCGCGACATCCCAGACTGTGACCTTTGAACCAGCTACTACTAACAAGTTCCCGTCAGGGAAAAACTCCGCTGTCTTTGCATTAACTTCAAGACGTTTGGGTGGCTCAAAACCAGTAATGCGCCATAGGAAAACTTCTGAACGCCCTAAGGCCGCGATAAGTTGACTATCTGGGGAGAAGAGAATTTTGTCGACCAAGGAGTCAATTGGGCACCGTTGGTGTCTGCCTGTAGATGTTTCCCATAATTCCAGCGAGCCAGTGGGCCCAATTGCAGCTACGCTGCGGCTATCGGGTGAAAAGACTGGGCTGGAATATCTTGAGACAAATGTTCGGGTGCCGTCGAGTATGCATAGCGGCCGACCACTCACTGCTTCCCAGAGCGCTACTTCGCCGCCAAGTTGGAGCTGACGCTTTGTTGCCACGATCTGGCCGTCTGGCGAGTAAGTCACGTCTGAAATAGAGCTGGGAAATCTCTCCTGTCGCGCACCAGACATCATGCTCCATACGCACAGTTGCCTATCCTCTGATAAGGAAGCTAGAAATTTACTATCAGAGGAAAAGGATAATTGCGAGATATCCTTTCCATCCCATACGAACGACCATCGATGCGCTAGTGTTGCAGCGTCCCAGATTCGAATTATTTTATCTCGAGAAGCTGAAGCAAGAAGCTTTCCCTCCGGTGACGAGACTATTCGAGTAATGCACTGACTATCACCACCGGAAAATTGATGTTCTCGCGGCTTCGTGGTATCCCAAAGGTGTTGAGGCGATGCTAGAGTTGAACCGTCCGGTGTAAAGGCCAATGCACTGACAGTTCCATCTTCGATCAAAGTGGTTTCAGAAACACCAGTCCGCAAGTCCCATAGCTGAATCTTTTCCCGTGCACTCGACGCTATAATCCTTCCGCAGGGTGAAAATGCAATAGCGTTCACAGGGTGATCGTGTTCTAGTGACAGGTGCTGTGCACCTGTCTCCACGTCCCAAATGGTCACTATCGTAATGCACACAAATGCCAGCAGCCTACTGTCTGGTGAGAATTCAACTTTGCCAATTCTCTGACGTCGGGTTCGATATATCCGGGGCCTGGCTGCAAATTTTAGTTCGCCAGTCGTGAAATTCCGAATCTTTACATAAGGTTCATTCTTATCCCGGTATGCCAATAATTGCATACATGGTGAGAAGGTTGCCTCTCCAAGTCGTACTTCCGCCCAGTTGGCCTTTCGTGTAATATTTCGTCGTTTTGAAGCGAGCTCTAGGTAAAGATTTTCCAATCTCTCCCAAAACTGAACCGTCCCATCCTCGGATACAGAAATCACAAGGTTCAGGTCTGATGAGAATCCGATGGCTATAAGTCGCCTGTTACAACCAATATCCATCTGTTGGGTATGACCGGATTTCACATCCCAAAGTCTTATATGCCCATCAAAGTCCGCTGCTGCCAGATGGAGACTGTCTGCTGAAAAGGCAATCGTTTCTATACGGCTCCCAGTGAATGGTAGAGGGTCTAAATGGGTACGAATCTTGATGTTGCTGCGCAGTCGAATCTCATGTTCGTGGAAGCCACTTTCTACTGCAGATGCCAAGACATGGCAATTCGGTGAAAACACATGTAAATACACGGTTCTGCCAGAGTTCTGAATCACTTGCAGACGTGGGCTCCAGTGGGCCTCGACACCATGTATCCCACCAGTCTTGGGTATGCGCTGATGCCAAAACCTTCGACGCACTATGCTTTCAGTGGGAGAGAAGAAGATTGAGGATCCGTATATCTGAAGAGGGGCAAGCTCTATAATCGCGATGAAGGCAACGATGACCCTTATTGAATCTTGAACGAATGGGACGAAATCCGGTCGTAGATCTTTGCATACCTGCAACAGTCAGCTAAGAGACACAACATAAGATGGCTCCGCATGTTATACCTGAATCATCTCTAATAGTTTCTTTAGGATACTTACACCATCTGCCAGTCTCCCCAGGAGAGATAGCACCTCGACCCAGTGAAGGAGATGATCAAAAAGAAACGTGTACGTGAAGAAACTCAGGGGTCGATCGCTCCGTCTCAAGTGTAAGAACCAGTAATTACAGGCATAGTCGAGTTCAGGGGGGATGTGATGGCTTATAGAATTCGCATCAATCTCGTCTTTGGTCGTCCCTGGTTTGCGAATCCCGCAAATGTCTTGCTTGAGTTTGGCGTTCATACATTGAATGCAAGCCTCCGCAAGATGTGCATGTATCTGAGCTGTGTTTATTTTGTACCTGTTAGAGCCCAAACCGTCGTCGCTGGTCAAGAAGTCGGAAAATGATTTGTGAAGGATCTGTATCGGTTGATAGAGCTCGTAGGGTACATGCAATACTGCATATAGGCTTGGAACCCACCAGCTGATGTCGTCTAGATCCGTACGAAGTAAAAGGGTGAGAGACTTGGCTGAGAGTGGTTTGGCAAGAAGTACAATGGTACCGAGAAATCGCAACTTCTGACGAAATTCCACTTTATCAAAACCTGAGAATGCTTGGTCGAGGATAGGATAGTATATCTGGTGCAGTTGCGACTTGCTCCCTTGTTCCAGCCACATGATTAGCTGCTGGATCGGACCCCGGTTCTTATCTGACACGAATCGACATAAAGTCGCGGCATAGATGAACAAGGGCTCAGGGGTGGTAGAAAGCCATACAAGGCGATCAAGGTCATCCACGGTAGGCCATGGGTCCTTTTGTACCCTCCTCTTGTGCTTTATATCTGCAAATCTCGCTTCGAGAAAGTTGCGAATGTCGAGCGCGGTATCGCCAGAGAATTCTCGGTGGAGTTCTAACGTGTGGACAGTCTTTTCCTTCACAAGAGGCTCGAAGGCTTCGATGATCTCGGGGGCATACCTGCTGGTAATTAATACACGCAGGCGGAGCGTAGAGATAGTGCAAAGCTTCGAAAAAAGCCCCAATAACCTTGTAAGATTTTCGAGTCGTTCACACTCATCCAAAGCGTCAATGACGATTATCCCTGGCAGCTGATTTGCCTCTTTGATTTTCAAACTCTCCAAGGGGTCCCATAAGAGCTTTTGAAACTGATTCTCGAGGCTACTCTTGTCTACTGCGTCCTTATCGAGACCTTCAAGAGAACTCCGAAGGCTCTCTTTAAACCGGGACAGAGTATCTGCCAATTGCATCGCGAGAGTAGAGAATATCCGATTGGTGCCATTCCGGTCCTGTTCTCCTCTTTTGAACATGTATCCAGCAATCAGTCGCTTGCTTGTTTCCAGAGAGTCGATTACACTCCTGGCAAGAGTAGACTTGCCAGTCCCGGCGGGACCGATAAGCCAAAGTAGTGGCAATTCTGATTCATTATCTGCCCAGTTTTGGATGAGCTCGAGGATACGGGCTCGTGTGTTAGGTTCGCATCTTGGACTCTTTTTGACGTCTTCGCTGTCACAGCGTGCATTGTGAACTATGTGGAGATCAAAGGGGCGATCATCTAGAAATTTCCTATTCCCGATTAACGACCACCCGTGAGCAAAATGGACTGCATACCTGATGTGTTTTTGTTCATTTAGGCTCTGTACCGAGGTTTCTAGGTGATCTTTGGCAACTATCATAAGTCAGCGAGACTGTGCGAATAGCGTTAACCTGAATATGTTGTTTGCATGCCGTTAAGGGGGTCTAGGTAGACAGTGGGTGACAGTTGTTTGCAAACAATCAAAGGTAGAAATTTACTAACTTGACACAAGCTCTGACACAAGCTTCTTTTCTTGTAGAACCTGGTTAGTTGGCACAAACAACAACAGCTCTTTCGCAAATGCTGCCGCCGTCGCAGCAGCATATTCTTGCCAGTCCTTGTTCTTATGCGAATCGGCATAATCGCAGATACCCCGGATAACAAGACATGGAAAATTATACAGGCCTGCAGCTTCCATTTCGAAGCACAGTGCATCGTATTCTTGACTCAAACGCTCACGCGTCTTTCCGTCCTTGATGACATGATTTCCTGAGGCGATGATGCCATAGTGGAAGTATGGATCGGTGTCATCACGATCCTCTCTATTGATGACCTGTGACTCATCACATTCGGCACATGTTGTGTTTCCTGGCTTGACATGGTCATACCAAGCTGCGTAAAGTCGATCATGTAATGCACCTGGGTAGCTGAATTTGCCCTTCATCCGCTTGGGAGCTTTCGCAGACAACTGAGATAGAAACTCGGGGACCCTGCTTTCCTCAGTCATATGGGTAGCTTGGAGGCGAGCCAAAGCGGATAGTAAAGACTGCGGGGGCGCATTGTGTGACCCAGTACGCTCAAATCCGCCTTCTGGTAACGTTTTTCCTCTATCATGTTGCACGACTCCTCCGAATATTCCTGAAGGCTGACTGACCACCACATCACCTAACCGGATGTCGTGCTTCGATGATGGCGCTCCGCCTCCGATGCCAACCAACAAGCCAAATCGAATAGATTTGAATGATCGAAGTAAGTCTTTAGCGACTGTAGCTGCAAGATTGGTCCCGTAGATGCCAGCTGGCAGACATGCAATTGCAACTTTGTGACCCTGAATTTCTCCCAGGATATAGCTGTTATGATCATCAGGGTCCTGCTGAGCCAGGCTTGGGTGAATCTTGTCGAGCATCCCTCTAGCGGCAGCCATCTCGAGTGGAAGGGCGCAGACCCATCCAACGGTGTATTCCTCCAATTCGAACGCTGCATTATCGTCTCCAGACATCGTCAAAATCGAAAGCGCTAAGTGGAGTGAGATGTAGAAAAATGAGGCTGCAGTCCACATCAAGGACATTACGAAGTTCAAGTCCTAAGCTCCAGGGCGCGTGATAGCCTTGGCGGCACAACTAATTGGCCACCCCCCAAAGTGAGGCGAGCATCATGCAGGCGGCGGCCGACATGCTGCCCGGGTGCCAATCACTTGAGAAGCAGGTTAAGATAGCGAAACGACCAGAAAGGGCCACCATTGCGAGACTTTGGTGGCAGAATCGGCGCTTAGTGGCTAGCTGAGAACCAGGGTGGTTGCCCAGACCGACTTTGATTAGAGTGTTATTTTGAGTTGATTGACCTTACAACTGATGGTTCACATCACGCGCCTCATACACGAACCAGGGTGGTTGTCAGTCGTGGGCATTTATTGGACTAAGCGATGCTATGCATATTACACAAGCGCGTAACGTCCCTTGCATTTCTCGGGAGGGAGACAAGTATGTAGAAAGAGAGATAAACTGTTGAAATGTTAGTTGTTAACGTCTTTTTATTTACTTCGTTCACCCTGCCAAGATAGTGCTGTCAAACTTGCTGGAGTGTCTAAAGGCTTAGACCTGCAAGTTACCGTGACCTTGGACCTGGCTGATGGTCTGCATCATGGCTCCTTACCCCTCATTTGTATCTACCGAGCCAAATCGTACCTCTGCTTTCTACATCTAGCATAATCCTCAGCGCCTCCACCCGTTCTCAATATCATCTATCTTCTCCCGAAAGTCTTTCCTTCTCTCAATCTGAATTTGCCGAGGAGACTTTCCCTCTGCATTCAGTTCATCCATCAGATATCCTCCATCGCCTTGAAGCCTTCGAAGTATATCTCCCATGCTTTTGAACTTTTCTTCGACTACTCCAGGCCAGTGCATTCCATTCGCGGCTTCGTGTAGTGGCGTGTTTCCTTTGAAGTTCTTTGCACGTATGTCTGCACCATGATCGAGCAGAAAGGCGATGGCTTCAAGATTTTCTAGGGTCTTGACTGCCAGATGTGTTGGCGTATTGCCTTCATTGTCTGTATCCGTAATCTTTGCGCCATGCCCGAGCAGAATCTCTATAGCTGCTGTATCAATTGGCCATCCTCCATCGTAGGAACACAATCTATGCAACGCTGTTACGCCCTTTTTGTTGATAATGCTGGAATTAGCACCTCTCTCACAAAGGTACTGAAAGATGGCTGTATGCTCTTGTCCGCAATTGCTGTAGTTCTTGGCTGCATGGTATAAAGGCGTATTTCCGTACTGGTCCTGGGCCTTGATCGTTTCTGGACTGCAGTCTAGCAGCAAGCCAAGAATTGTGATAATTCGTTGCATCTTCTCCTCCATGACTTCTGAAGTCACCTCACGGGGAACTCCATCCATCGAGACTTGACAAGCCCAGTGAAGTGGCATGCTGCCCCAGCTATCACGATAAGACACTGCGTCTCCCACATCACCTACCTTGGTTGCGCATTCAAGCAAGACTTTGAGAGCATCAACGTTCGCACATCGACTTGTGGTGGAGATGATCGTTACATCAGAGCGAACTGTGAATTCTTTATCCTCCATCATCTTGACGTGAGGATCAGCGCCACTCTCGATGAGCCGCCGGATCAGATCGGCGCCAGCCCACTCTGCATCAAAGTTCAAGGTCATAAAAACCGGCACCTGCTTGTGGGTAGACTCTCCGATCATGGGATCAAGACAGTAGTCCCATGTGTATTCTGCGTCGGAGGCGCGGGCACCTTGATCGAGCAAGAAATTGATGACTGCCTCTTTTTTTCTCAAGATTATCCTTGCAATAAGAAGCCTCGGCAGCTATCATAATCGGAGTGAAACCATTATTGTTATGGTGGATATCAGCATAGAGAAGAGGGTGATCGAGCAGACACTTGACTACCTCGAGATGGCCACAATGAGCTGCTGTGTTCAACACTCGACAGCAACGACCATCGGGGTCAGTTCTTCCAACAGGCTTGATGAATGTTGAATAATGATCCAGGAGCATTTTGAGCACATCGAGGCTTCCATGTCTAGCTGCCACAATGAATGGATCATAGTACATTCCGAGAGCATGACCTCTCTTGACAGCCCATGGTGCGTTTTATAGGTATTTCTCTAGGGTCACTGTATCGTTGCGCTCAATAATTTCTGTGCGAAGACGGTAAAACTGCTGTTCGTAAAGAATTGATCCGTCAATATCAACTATCGTCGGATACTCCGTGGTTGGATTTGGAAGTTCAGCATGAACAGCTGGGAACCTTTGATGGAATACTTTGTAGGGAGACCTAGCGGTCATTGTGAAACCCGTAGCAGATATCGAACTTGATGTGCCTGAGCAGAGAAGGGAAAATATGAAGGCTTATGTAGATAATAATTCACATTGGAAGACTTCAAGCTATATACTGTCCTGTGCAGTGTATTGATGCCGATAAATTTTCAAGCTACCCTGGATCATCTCACTCACCTGTACCTGGATGAGTCAGGCCGTCGATTTATCCGAATAATAGCCCGAATCTCCATAACACACGCAAGTTGCTAACCGAGCTTACAAGACCCTGGAAAGCATTTGTCACAACGAACCATTGCATCAAGTAACACACTGGAACGAGATTTTCCGGGAACATTAGCCTGTAATCTATGGGACCAAGCTTCCGGGATTGATGACCCGGGGAGTCGGGTAACGGGAATTGGATCCTGAGTGGTCACAAACTGTCACTAAGACGAAGCTAGCTAGCCGATCGCAATAATCCTTGACGCCAATCGATTATATCGAGAACTTTGAGCTAATGATTCAACCCAGGCAGAGTCAGAAACAATACTTTCATCAGCAAAAAAACAAGAGAAGATGTAAACTACGAGTATTTTCGTTCCTCCTGGTAAAATATAGTGATGGCTGGAAGCTGCCACTGCGACCAAATTCCGTCATCTGCATCATCGCTAAAATCTTTAGTCTCGGCCTAATGAATCGGGAGCGATCGCTTCATTTAGATTTCAGGCTCACCGCAAGCTAGCGATAGCGGAAGCTGGAAAATTCCGGGTTCACGCTAAGAAGGCGGGGATCGATGCTCCATATATCGTCCCATCTTCATCTTATTCCTCGATTTGATTCCGACCTTGATTAGATTATACATCATACCTTGACTCTTATGACCATTTTCTGCCAGCCTTGACACTCTCCGAGTTCTGGACGTACCATATAACTTAGGGAATTCGCACTAAACAGTGTCAGCTAACATGAGCAATTTACCGACGGTTATTCCCCGAGGCTCATGGGTCCTCGTGACGGGAGCGAATTGTTACACCGGCAGCCATGTGGTCATCGAGCTTCTGAAGCAAGGCTTCAAAGTGCGCGGCACAGTAAGAGATCTCTCATACAGCAAGTGGCTGCTCGAGCACCCAGCCGTGAAGCCACACGCAGACGAAGGAAAGGTGGAATTGGTTATCGCAAATACATCAAAGCCGGGAGATTTCGACGAGGCGGTGAAAGGTGTCTCGGCTATTATCCATCTCGCCAACATCGGCGATTATACGCCAGATCCTAGTGTCGGTTTCGCATCAGCTATTGAGGCTGCCTTGACCGTGTGCCGATCTGCTGCCAAGGAATCGTCAATCAAGCGATTAGTGGTGGCATCTGGACTATGGTCATCAGTCTGGCCCAAGCCGGGAGAGACAAAGACTGTTGGACAGGATACGTGGAACGATGACCTGGTCAAGGTAGCACAGGCGCCGCCACCGTATGAGTTGAGCCGCATTCTTCCTGTGTACTTGGGTGCCAGAGTTGAAGCCGAGAAGGCGGTATGGAAGTTCGCGAAAGACGAGAATGTCCCATGGGAAGTCAATTCGGTTAGTCCCTGTTGGGAATTGGGCGATCCGCTTGATGCGAGACACTATGGGCCTATGCCTACTCAGCTCTTACAACAACTATACCTTGGCAAAACAGATGCTCTGAAAGAGAACACAACAAGTAAGTTGACAGAAGGTTGGGTAAGAGTCTCACAAAGCTGACCAGATAGTCTATTACACTCATGTCTCCGACGCAGCTGTCATTTACGTAGCAGCAGCTATCGATCCAAACGTCAAAGGCGCTCGTATTCCAGCACTGGCCCAGTCTTTCAACTGGAACAATGCTTTGGCCATCATGCGTAAAGCATATCCTGAGGAAGATTTTGAAGAAGACTTTGTACCTGGCGACCCTGTTCTGAGCTACAATATTGAGAACGATATTGCGCCTGAGCTGCTGCAGAAGTGGGCTGGTAGGGACTGGATCAGCCTCGAGAAGGGAATTACAGAGACCATCGACTTTTCGAGGAAGCTGGGTAACTTGGACTAGTCGTTTGCAAAACGAAATTTATGGAAACGAGAAATACTACTTTAGGCCATGCTTGAGGACATGAAACGTGGTGCAGATTGTGAACAGGTAGCTGATACTGCTAGGCTTTGACCTCAGACTGTTCCAGTGGTTTTCTTCCGTAAACCACATAGCTATAAATACCAATGTCAGAAGATAGCCAGTGGTATCAAACGTGAATATGGACTTACACCGGGATATACGCATGAATACTTCGATCGCGCAGCTGTTTTCTCATCGCACTGCAGAACACGCGGACCTCATCCGCGCTCCAGCCCAAGAACCTCGTGAACAATCCAAGCAACAGACCTTCCAAGCCATTGTTAATGTTAGCATAGGACCACTTTCCCAGCTCTTTATAGTGCTTGTCCTTGGGCCACTCGTTAATAGGCCACTTGAACTGCTTCTCCACCACATCAACAAACCCAGCCTTCTCAAGGAAGTTTTCGTACTTGGGAGCAAGGTTGATAGCTCGTCCTGCTTTGGCGCTGGCTCCGATGCTGAGAAGACCGGAGCGGAGGACTTCACAATTTGGGGGAAGAGTTCCGTCATCGCAGGCAATGGGGTAAGTTAGGTCCTGCATCTCGAGATAACCGCCAGGCTCGAGATTACTGTCGCACGTCAAGAGAGGGTTGGTGATTGAGTTTAGCTTGACTTACTCGTAGGCGTTCTGAACGAATTTTTCCATATCTGCGAAGGATCCTGTCATGACGCGACAGAAGATGAAGTCGAATGGCTCTGACCACATCCATTCCTTTTCAAGATCGTCGATTTCAAAGGCACAGTTCGGTGGGACTCTAAGGAACAATTTAGCCATATGGAATCTGAGAATGAAAGCAAGTAATACAGTGAAGGTTGGATAGGGCTAAGGTCTACGCCAACGACCTGAACCAGTCAGTGAGGTAATCTTGTCGAGGGAAAGAGGAATGATACCTGAGCTTCGGGATGAAGATCGGCTGTATCAGATAGTCAGTGTATAGATCCTCGATCGACTTGCTTGACGCACCATATTCGATAGCCCAAATGCCAGTTCCAGTTCCAACATCCATGACTCTCTTAGCTAGCTCCTTGATCTTGGGGCTAAGGCCAAGTTCTCCATGAAGCGTGAGTAGCCAGAGATTATGCTGAAGATCTTCACCAACACTCAGCACGTAACATAGACGAGGGCCTGCCAATAGACCTACCCAAACGGTCACTTTCAGACGCGTCGTTAGGAAAGTTATATTCTGGATCGTATGTTAATTTTGAATGAGATCTCGACTAGAACGACTCACTTCCGGAACTCATGGCATGGTATGTTCTCCCATTTTCTTCTTGGAAGCGCAAAACGCTTGATCGAAGTGACTCTAGGCTTTCTGAATCGGTCTGCGGCTGTTTAGTCCTACTTCTAGGTGCAACATTGCGCGTACTGTCTGGCGCCCGCTGAACTTACGCCAGAGAATGTGGAGTCGGTATCGTCAAAGGTATCAGCGGCCTGTCCAGAGAGGTCAGCATCGTTCAACGCAGTCAATACCGCAGTATCTCTATACCAATGCCTCATGTGGTTCTTGAGTAGGCGCAGACATGATGTCATGTGTCTGTTTGACAGTAATAAGTAGCAGATGGTTGTAGAGTGCCAGCGAATTGAGGAAAGGTGTTTACTTGAGAAAAGATAGCAATAAAGCCAAGAACAATTAGGTGATTCTCGGAGTTCGGCTCCGGAAAGGCAGGGAAAAAGAAAAACACCTCATATGCAGCATACAATACTGCCTGGTTCAGTAACGTAATCCGATGCATACCACCGGCACAGCGACAGTTCCAACCAACAGACCCACCAACGTTGCAGTGATGGCTTTGTCGGGTAAATCTCTCTTCCTGGGGCATTTCCGGAATAGTGATTCGCTGGCTGAACGAAGTTGAGAGGGAATTATGCTTTATTGAGTCACATAGAGCATTGACAAAGAATGAAGACAAGATCGAGGGTGACATGTATGGCCGCTATAGTAGCCTTTCGATTGAGGAAGTGCCAACCTTGCTATGTGATCATCCAAGTCTGACTGCCACTTCCTTCGGCTCTAGGCTCAGCCACTGATCCAAGGATATTCCATGGCAAACCTGAACCCTCTTGGCGACGCCGTCATCTTCTCTGGAGATACACATTAAATCGACTACAAATCGCTCTTTTGAGCATAAATCCTGCCACTGAGAGATAGCGGCATCAAAGCTATATTGATCGGAAAACAAGCGACCGCTCATCTTTGCGTTATATCGGCTTGTTCCGCAACCGGCAGCATATCCCGAGAACTGCGGAGGCTCTGGATCCGTCAGTTTAGCCGTGGCAAAGACGATAAACTCTAGTTGCTCT